CGCAAACACGAGGGCAGGAGGGGCCAATGCGAGGGTAAATAAATACCAGGCCTCCCGCCCAGCAGCGACGGTGAGTCATGAGCCATGGCAGAGCAGCGGCAGCGCACCCTCCTGGCGGGGCCGGGTAGTCTAGAGCAGGGCGAGGAGAGGCCTGGAGGGAGGATTCCGCACAGGGGCTCCGACACAATACCAGTCAGCCATGAGTGCAACAAGGACAGACGTGACCACCCCCCTGAGCACCCCGTCAGTGGGAGGCTGGGCGGCCGCACAGCGTGCGCACGCCCCCGCGCGCGTCTCTGGGCCGCCCAGCACCGTGTGGCCCTTGGCGGTGCCGTGCTCCGAGCCTCGGGGATTTAAGAAGTAGTGTACTTGCAATAATCAGTGGCAGTAAACACTGATAAGAGCCCGGCTGGCCAGCGGGCTGCCGAGGGCTGAGCAGGGCGGTGCCGGGGCTCAGTGCTCCAGAGCTCCCTGCCGCAAGCAGCCGCCACCGGCCGCAGACCTACAAGTAAGTCGCCACCCCGCTCTGCTGCCGTGGAAGTGAGACGAGAATGAATCTTTTCACATAAACGCGTCGAATGTCGCAATGAAGAGTATCCGAGTTTGGACTCACTGGCACGCACCTGATTGAAATTAGGATAGGGAGTACGTTTACCAAATTTGGAATTCCCTCTGTTACCATCTGATAGCCATCGCCTTAGGGATTATGACGAGTTTACTGCAGTTAAGTGACAGCAAATTTTGCGATTTTTTTTACAGTGATTTGTGATAGTGACAATGAAAGTGGCAGAGCAGTAGTAGCTCAGGCTCAGAGGTGAGGAGCACGAAGTTGCCCTTCGCCCTGTTTCAATGGCAAGAACTTTTAGAGCTATCATATAATCACAAATCTTATGACTCTTTAGATATGAATAAGGCCTGTACAAAGAAAGAGGGGGGCTGCTCTGGGCTGGGCTCATGGGCCAAAATGCCTCATTTAATCTTTGCAATCAAGCGGTGTTCGCCCTTCAAATTATACGACCGGAGGTATAGCAGGTGTAGGATATCTTTTCAGAATATCGAGGGCCCCTTTTTTCCCGCTGAGTGTTTCCGTCGCGATGCAGAACCGTGCCCTCGGTATGTTCTTATCTGATTGACAACCAGACAAGTGAAACTCATGAGAATCGGTAGGATCTGTAGCCCACGAGCTTTGACCATAGACGAACTCGTAATGCGACTAAAATTAATTTTATTTACTCTATAACGTGAGAACGCTAGATTTTCGGTAGCACCCATCCGCCTTAGAGCGAACAACGCTCGAGTATTGGCCGATTTGTCGTCAGAACAAAGCGTTGACTGTAATTGTGAATGGCTACCTAGAAGAACTGTCACAGAACTACTACCTGACGGCTGTCTCGTACACACAGAGATTACTGCTTCCAAGTCTAGACTCAGGCTACCTAGTCGTAAAGCTCATAGTGCACAGTAGTCAGCTGATGGACCATCGACTGTCGACAAAAAATGACTACGTGAGACGAGCCGCGAAGATCTTTCAGAGACTATCGAGATTAAAACAGTTCGTCTAAGATTAGAGTAGTTTATCTATTTCTAGCGTTGCTGTCGTGACAAAAGCCTATGCCCCACGTGCATGGGGTACGAACGAGAACGCTGATTGAAAAGATGAGACATTAAATAAAGACATATCCCATCCCACGTTCCATAAGGTCCTTCTGACAGAGTGAGCTCCGCGCGATACACCACGCCGCGCCCGCCCCGCCCCGACGAAGCACATGACGCGACGCACCTCGTCCCGCTGACTCGCCCCGCTGACTCGCCCCGCTGACTCGCCCCGC